CTCTGGGCACCATGTATTAGGCAAGCATGCTACCAGCTGTGCTACGACCCCAGAAACATATGAGGAACACAAGAAACATGAGGTACACAAGGTTAACCCGGTAGCTATCATGATAAAGTGCATTTCCTGTTTCCCAAGGCCATGGCAAAGATGGACATTAAGATTATAACATTTCCAGCATTTTCAACGTGTGACATGCAGTCAACACTGCCATAGGGAAAAGGAAAAAAAAATCTCTAAATTTAAAGTTACAAAATGCATAAAAGTAAACAATGAACTAGCACTGTATCCGAGAAACACAACACATTGATATCCCCAATACAAACGAAAACACAGCCCTGTCTAACACAGCCCTGTCTAGGTGTGGTAGTACACACCTTTAACCCCAGCACTTGGGAGGCAAAGGCAAGAGGACTCTGCGAGTTTGATGCCAGCCCAGTCTACACAGTGAGTTCCAGGACAACCTGGGCTAAACAGAGAGACATTGTCTCAAAAAAACCAATCGACCAAACAACAACAACAAAACCAAACCCCTGCCAACAGCAGATGCACTGGTCTGATGCACCGACTGATGGTTGCACTGACCTTAGCTGTGTGCTTATCTCCTGATTCTTTGATCCCACTGAGGCAGTGGGCTCTGGAGGGATAGCCTTGAATGGTTCCCCTCACCCTGTCTTCACAGCATTAATCAGGGCTAGGCACATAACAGATCAAATAACCACAGAAGGCAAAAGAATGTGTCTAAATCAGAAAATGGATGGAAGAAATTAAGTCAGCTCAGAACAGAGTTAGGGATTATGGCATTGGAACTGGGGATACATTTTTGGATTCAACTAAAGCAACTTCGATGACATGGCTGGATACTGAAAAATAAAAACTAGGGGCTTTCTTCTATGGTACCACCTAGATCACGTAACAGAACTCCTCAAAAAAAAAAAAAGATCAGCACGGAGTGCCGAAGATTTTGAAGATGGGGGTTAACAAACCCTATAGGAGCTAAGGGAAGAAAACCACTGGCCATCCTGAGGGTGTAAAATTCGTCTAAAGAGACCCAGAGAGAACAACGCAGCCCATCCCCTGCAATTAAAACCAATGCCAGTCCCTGGGATTCGGCTCAGTGGGGAGAAAGCCCGCCTGCCTAGCATGCACAAAGCCAGGGGTACTGTGCCCATCAGAACTACATAAGCTAGGTATGCTGACACAGGCCTTTATTTCCAGCACTTGAGAGGCAGAGGCAGGAGGATCAGCAGCTCAAGGTCACAGTCAGCTATGTACTGAATTCCAGTATAGTCTAGGCTACATGAGACCCTGTATTCAAAAAAAGGAATAAACAAACACACAAATAAATAAATGAGAAATAAATAAATGCCAACCAAGATGGGATTATTTGGTGGTGTATGGGGGTGTTTTGAGTCACTACGAGGTTATGTGAAAATAGAAATAAGCAGCAACCAATTGGAAGAGCTGGAGGTATGGGTGGGATGTTCAGGTGTTACACTGCCATACAGAACTAAATCCAGACCTAATACAATGTGGTCGAGTTACAGCATAAGACATCCACAGGAACAGTGCATGGAACAGATTAGAACACCTGGAAAGTGCATTTCATCACGTGATTTCGTTGTACACAGAAGAGACTTAGAATTAATGAAGATCTTCAACAGAAAGGACATGTGGCTGTTTAAATAGACAATTTGCTTATATTTCCTATCACACATAATGGATCCAAACAAATCAAAGGTGAATTAGAAGTTAATGATATTTTTAAAGGGAGAGGATTTAATAAAACAATAATAAAACTTGGAAATAAATGTTACTCAGCTGTGAACAGACTCCAGACCACTAAGGATCTTTGAACAGCTTAATGTAGACATCTGAGTCACAATTTGAACAAATAGGAAAAAAGAAAAAAAAATACTATTTGCAAATAAGACCACAAAGCAAAAGTAAATGAACTATTATATTTTAAATTTTATACATATTAAAAAATACCAATATCTTCAACATATAAAGAGCTTTTCCTTATCAACAAGAAAAAGGATCTATTAAGCACATGAGACACCTGGATTCACAACTGTTGGGAGAGACTAAACACACACAGCATGAGTTGTTTTTACCCTGTTGATTCTGAAAATGACAATTAAAAGCAGCATCACGTGGGTATTTTATAGAAAATATTTCTAGAGGTTATGTTGGAAATATACATCAAGAAGCTGACAGGCTCACTGGCTGAGCCACACTACTCATGGCTACTGGCTGAATGAGGAGGCATTGAGTGCAGAGGCTTAGGTATGTGCACACCCCAGATGGATAGATACCTCAGAGGAAGAAAACCAAATAACAAAGAAATCACCAAGGGAACCAAACATTCCCAGCTACTTCAGACTCCCAAAACATCCCCACAGCAGAATCCAAGAATCAAGAGTGTCCTCAATCATCATGTTCAATTATTTGACAAATAGCTTCAAAGAACTATTTTTAGCTCAAGTCCATCCACATCAGCAGAGCATCGGTCCAGTTTTCCACGCCGCCACTCTTCACACTGAATGTTTTATGAATAACAATATCTCAAACACAGGGAACTCGACTTTAAGAGGATAACTGATAGGATGAGAACTCAAACCCAGCAAATGTGTTGATTTCTTAAGCAAAAAATGTGTTATTTTAATGTCCAGGTCTAAGAAGTCAATAAATTAAATTAAAGTTTCACAACATTTTGGTGAAATAGCCATCTCTTATAGTACTGGACTCACAGCCCTGCCTCATGACCCAGGGAATAGACTGGCAAATACCTGGGGCATGTTCTAGAGGTCTTACCAACTCTTACTAGAAGCAGACAATGTATGCCTCCTGAGGGGGCTGCACTTCCCAAGTATGCCTGAACCTGAGACACGATGACTAATGTCACACCCCTACTTCCCTGTTCCACCTGGCATCTACAGAGCACAGAATCAACCAGGTGCCCTCACAGATTAACACAGTAGATGGTTGTCAAGATCCTTTGTCATGAACCTGAGGGACTTGACCATGCAAACGGGTCTTACTCATGCCTCAGACCCTGAATCTGCCCAACAGCAAGGCTTTTCCTGTGAATGAATCTGAGGTGGGGACGCATAGCTCCAGTCCTTAGAAAGATCCAATGTGTGGTCTGGTGTATGTGCCCTTTTGTATTTCTCACTTGGAGAGAAACATTTCCAGCTCCTTAGGACTATTGTCATGCAGCACCCAAGGAACTCAAGTCTCAAGACTAAAGGTCTAGAATCTTAACTTTATGCATTGGCTCTTCTGCTCACCATTACTGTTTCCTTATGTAGGTTTCCAGGAGGTTCCTGTCTCCCACTACCTAGAGCACTTCCCTAAGCCCCGCCTCTCCTTCCAGTCACAGAGCTCTCAGCCCTCCACAGCTGAAGCCTTGGACTTCCTGTGTCCCCCCCAACCAGAGAGGGACAGCCTCCTTACAGTCTGCGTCCCTGGGTTCAGGACGGTGGGGAACACTACAAAGTTGGGAAGTGACTTCAGTCAGCCACTTAATGTCTACAGAGTGCCAGTCCTGAAGGACAAATACCTGTAACTTTGTCAATTTAAAAAGAACTTTCAAAGTATTACAGTCCCTTAACCGTTATCGAGTGGGTGTTCTGGATCTTTTCACAAAACTCCCACATATAAGTTTATTAAAAAGGGACGTAAGTAAATGCTTGCTGCCATGAATGAAGGGTGGACGGATACAGTGTGACGAGGTAGCTGGCAGGTGACTGCCATGTACAGGGATTCTGGAGGTCAGGGAGTCCAAAGCCACAGTGACCATAACTTTTGGAACAAAACTGGCCAGTGATAAACATCTCATGACTACATGAAGGGGTGATGTTATGTAGTAAAGTACAGAGACTAACTTTCTCTTCACTCCAGAGTTTTTCTTCTTCCTGGGGCACCATTTTCCTCATCATCGTTTTGGGAGTGAGGGGAACAGGTTGGAGAGCATCAACCTCACCCTTCTGGAAGGTGCTAGTCCCGCCCTTTGGAGAGGCCAATTTTTAGCTTGATTACTGTCTTCAATGGTGCTGACTTGGCCCCTTCTGTGGGCTCTCTTCTGGCTGTTGACACAGGTAGGCAGCATGGTCAAGACCTGGCTAAGATACCAAGAGGCACTGTCTGGGGGAGTCCACATTCGGCTCTCTCTGTTACTCCACGTTAACCAACCAGTCTTTCACAGCCCCGTGCAGTTCACCACACCGTCCTTCACAGAACCCAGTGGTTCAGAAGTGAGAGCACATTATTCCCAGAAGCCAATATACACGCTATCATCTCCCACAGAGCAAGCCCCAGGAGACTGGGCCCAGTGGGAGAAGGGCTTTGTTAGCGGAAACAAGGAACCCTCCCGAGCAGCTTCCAAATGCTGAGAGAGGATTCCAGCTCTTTACCTGGCTCCTCTGAGAAGCCATGGCATAACGGCCCAAACTGCTTTCAATCACCTACAAAGATGCTTCAGGAAAAACAAACACAATGCCAGGTGCTGCGAACACTCGGAAGCTGAGAATTTCCAAACACACCAAATTCTTGCAAAACAAGACTTTCTCTAATCCTGAATGGAAAACCAAACCAAGCCAAAACCAAAGTTCTTGGAAGAAGAATAAAGAACAAAGTTGCTTTAGCGGACGAGAGACGCTAGTGAAGAGAGCAAGGACAGGTCTGCGCACCTTGCTCACAGCTCTCCCAGGACTGTATGTGGAGTTACCAGACGCTCTACACCTTTACAGCCGATTCCTCTCCTTACACGACCTCGGCTAGCTGATCCACACACGAAACTGCTCTCAACACCCAGCCCGGGAGGGAACTCCTCGGACAGCGAAGCTTGTGCGGCTGTAGCCTGCTTGCTACCGTTCACAGAACAGATGCACGGAGGAACCAGCCCAGGGACGCGGTTTCAAGCCTGCCCGAGGCTACCCCGTCTACCTGCAGCAGCAGCACCTCGCTCCTCAGGGGCACCTGAGGTGGGAGCTTACCTGAATTTGGTGAGATGTGTAAACTGCTCATGTCCTTGGACAGGCCATTGGTTTTGGGACTGGAGATAGGTGCACAGGCTGACGTGGCTCGGGGCGGCCTCTTCCCTGGCACTTTCACAGTGGTTCTCAGGAGGTCAATCTCTTTGCCGTGGACATTCTGCATGTAATCCTGTGTGAATGTCAAACACCCAAGAGAGATTAAGGAGAGGGTGGGCTACAGTGCGGGACACAAGGCCCTACTGATGTCATGAGCTGCAAGATGTGGGTGACATCATTCTCATTTAAACCCGGCTAGGCATCTATGTTCTGATCTAACCTGGGACCATGAACGGGAAGACAAACAGCACCAAATCCTGGCTCTCTGAACTCCTGCTTTCTACATCAGCTTAGGAACCTAGGCTAGTGCTGTGACTTCCGAGTAACAGTCATGGGGTGGGAGGAAAATTCTTGAGAACAGTGTCCAAAGTTTAAGGATGTAGCTAAGGTGTGCTGACTAGTTTTATGTCAACTTGACACAAGCTAGAGTTATCTGAAAGAGGAAACCTCAATTGAGGAAATGCTTCTATAAGATCCTTAGTTAGTGATTAATGGGAGAGAGCCAGCCCATTGTAGATGGGTTCCATCCCTGGACTGGTGGTCCTGGTTTTGTAAGAAAGCAGGCTGAGCAAGCCATGAGGAACAAGCCAGTAGGTAAGTAAGCAGCACCCTTGCATGGCCTCTGCATCAGCTCCTGCCTCCAGGTTCCTGCCCTGTTTGAGTTCCTGTCCTGACTTCCTTCAAGGATGAACAGTGATATGAAAAGTTTAAGCCAAATAAACCCTTTCCTCCATAACTTGCTTTTGGTCACAGTGTTTTATCACAGTAATAGAAACCCTAACTAAGACATGAGGACTGGAGGTGTTTGAGGGACCAGAGGCAAGGTATTAACAACAACAACACACTCACAAGTGGACACCAACAACAACACATTCACAAGTGGACACCAACAACAACACATTCACAAATGGACACCACCAACAACACATTCACAAGCAGACACTCACAGCAACACATTCACAAGCGGACACTCACAACAACACATTTACAAACGGACACCAACAAGGATGCATGTTTCCCTTTTAGCATCAGAAGCAACACCCATCAAGTCTCACCAACATGATTGCTTAATTGTGAGCTGAACAAGGAGGACAGGGACAAACGTGCCAGACTGCATGGGAAGAACTACGAGCTCTCAACCCTATACGCAGAACTACAGGCATGTGAGGAAGGCCGGGAGGAGGAGAGGTGCCTTCTCCAGAGAAGGGCACACCGACTGGTTGTCCAGTGCCAAATGGTCGGCCCTGGAAAACACGCATACAAGCAACATTGTATAGACTTCAAAGGTTTTATTTGGGAAAATAGATGCAGGTACAAATACATATATGCATGCAGTCACAACTGATGCCAGAAGATGCTAGAAAACTGAAGGAGAGCAGGGAGGGTTTGGAGTGAGGAAAGGGAAGGGAGAAATATCATAATTAAAACACAGTTTCAAGAACAAACCAACCAACCAGAAGGAGCGTGCTGGGGCGTCCACGTGAAATGCCCCACAGGCTCATGTGTTTGAACAACTGGTCTCTGGCTGGGAGCGTTGTCTGGGAGCGTTGTCTGGGAGGGTTGTCTGGGAGGGTTGTCTGGGAGGGTTGTCTGGGAGGGTTGTGGGGCCTTTAGGAAGGGAAGGCTTGCTGGAGGGAGCGAGTCACCAAGGACAGGGTGTAAGGCTGAAGAGGCTGGCCTCACTTCCTGTCCACTCTGCTTCCTGACTGCAGACACAACGTGACCAGCAGCCTCCCTGCTCTGAGGAACCACAGCCTGCTGGAACTGTCGGCTAAAGTAGAAACCTCATCCTTCCCAAACTGCTGCTCTTCAGGCATTTGGTCACACTTAGACAGGAAACAAAATACAGCAAATCAAAACCTAGAAACAAATCCATCAGACCCTCGGCCCTCGTGTCAGAAGCCAGCAGCCAACAACTATCAGAGGGTAGCCTGGGCTAAGTCACGTAACAACCCATTGCCCAGTGGAACCCACACGACCTGGGAATAGCTGAAGGAAGGGGATGGCAGGCCAAGGGTTTGGGTGAGCGTCTTCGAAAATGGACCATGTGCCAAAAGCTTAGCTGTCAGGCTGTGGCGCTCTCGGGAGGTAGTGAGATCTTAAGAGATGGGACCTGGTGGGGGGAGATACGTCACTAGAGGTGTGCTCTTGAAAGGGACGCTGGGAGGCCAGTCTGCCTTCCCTCCCTGATTCCTGCCGCTGTGAGGTGAGCAAGTGTCCCTGGCCACGATGCGCTGCTCCAGGCTCAAGGCAACAGGGTGAAGTGACCATGGGGAAAACTACAAGCCAAAATATAACACTTTCTACCACAAAAGTTGATTGTCTCAGGAGGATTTTGTCACAGTGATTGAAAGCCGAGGAGTACAACAACTGATCCAGGGTGCCGGGGCTGCTGGGAACATGGTCCTTCCTCTCCATCATCACCACCACCCTCATCATCACCACCACCGTCATCACTGTCACCAGCAGCACCACCAGTAACATCATTGTCTTCTCAGTGAGGCCTCTTACAGACAGACAGACACAGCATTTTACATATTCTGGATGTCACCCCATCACATACCAGAGAAGGATCTATCCTGAATTACTCTTAGATAAATAATGTTTCAAGTATTTTAAGAGGAAGGAGGACTAGGAAAGAAGCGGGAAATAGGATTTTGGGTAGACCCAGAAATTTGTGTTTGTTCTCAGCGATTACATCCAGGTTGGGGTAACATTAGGAGAAGTGACCATCTATCTTACATGTTGGCTGAAGGGCCCAGCAAGCTGGAAAAGTGAGCCGGTTGTTCTGAGCACCTAAGTGTACAGCGAACAGATGCAGACAGATAACCCATACAAGCAAAATGGGACGGTCAGGGAGGGGCCTTAGTCTGTTGGAGAAGCGCGAGGCAATGCATATGGACGGGGTCGTGTGGGCACAGTGAGCGGCATGGAAGTCGTGGCAAACCTCCCAGCGCTCCTGGGGAAGAGGCAGCCATCTCATGTAATCGCAGAAGGATGGCCATGGCCTAGCAGACAAGTGCGGGGAGACACCTATGATGGTTAGCTTTGACTGTCACCTTGGTTAGGCTGAGAAGTGTCTAGGAGCAGGATGAACTGAACCTCAAGGTATGCTGTCAGGGACTTCTGGAGGCTTAGCGGAGGTTGGAGGACTGTCATGGGCACTGGAGGCACTATGCCACATGGATAAAGCCGTTGCGGGATTTACGCTCTGGTTCCTGGCCACCCTGATGTGAGCTGTAGTTCCCAGGCCCCACCTCCACAATGGAAAGATGTGGATCAAAGATGGAGGGAGTTACCCTCATCAAGTGAGTCTGAAGGACCGTGTGGACTCTGGTGGGAGAAGCCGGCCACTGAAGACAGCAAACGGATGTCCACCAGGGAAGAAAGGGCCGTCAGCCAGGGCAGGTCATTAGAAAAGAAGGCTGCTCTCATCTCCGATGCCGGCTGCCATTAACACCCACCCGACGACGACGCAAGCCCAAGTTTCCAAACAGAGTCATGCTTGCGAACGACGCACTCCTTCTTGCACAGTTACTGCTTTAAAACACCAACTTGCTGTAACTTTCTCCTTTAATGCCAATTCTTTTTTTTTTTTTTTTTTTTTTTTTTTTTTTTTTTTTTTCGAGACAGGGTTTCTCTGTGTAGCTTTGCGCCTTTCCTGGAGCTCACTTGGTAGCCCAGGCTGGCCTCGAACTCACAGAGATCCGCCTGCCTCTGCCTCCCGAGTGCTGGGATTAAAGGCGTGCGCCACCAACGCCCGGCCTGCCAATTCTTAACAAATTAAAATACAATAACAGGAGTGTAATTGAGCATTTATTGCTTATGAGTTCTAAAATGAGGCTAATCAGAGAGTGACTAAGCCCCAGCGTGGGCTCTTCTAATAGGCATGTTTTAACATACAATAACCAGGATATTTTACTTAAAATTATTGTAGAAATGTAGAGCCTGCTTTCTGGATCTGAACACGCCAAGGGAAGACATTTATCTTGAGCCCAGCATGGGCTGGCCGATCTGTTTTCTTGCCTGTGTTAGGCACTGCAGGCTTCAGAATTGGCTCGAAGAAACTTGAGCCCCAGAGGCCTGGGAAGATGGCTCAGTGGTCAAGTGTTTGCTGGGCCTGAGTTTGACCTCCACCAGGCTGCCTCTGATCTCACTGCTGGGGAGGCCTGGACAGGAGCACCCTTGGGCTACCTCCCCAGCCACTTTAGCTGTGTTCCAGGTGGAGAAAAAACTGAGGAAGACACTCAACATTGACTGTTAGCCTCTGCGCGTGCGCGCGCGCGCACACACACACACACACACACACACACACACACACACACACCACCCAACAGGATGGAAAACAGACATTCACTTGGCAATTCCTCTATTTCCATTCCGCCTAGTTTCTTCTCCCAAGAGAAAAAGTGCCCGGAGTTTGATCCTGCTTCTGCAAGAACAGGGCCTTTTCATCTCTCCCCAGCTTGGTACTTGAGGAATTAAAGCCGCAACCGCTAAACAATGTGGTGCCTTCAGAAGCGGACAGGCTGTGCAGACCCTGGGTGGGTGGGAGGTAGGGACCTCGCTGGGTGAAATAAAGACAGCAAGCTTATTTTGATATGCAAATACTACTCAGCCACCCTTCTCCACGTTAGCTGCAGAAAATGCTGATCGAAGATAAAAGAGGGGAAAAAAACCCTTTAACAAGGCATGAGGGTAATTCAAAGCCAAGTACTTTTAAACAGCACTTAACAAGTCCCTGGGGCCCACTCAAGAGCCAGGCCCCCCAGACGTGCCATCTCCTGCCCCTCAACAGCTTGAAAAAGTAGTAATTGCAAACCTATTTGCATTTTTCTCCTCAACTTGTCCACGCTTATCATGCGGATTCTTTTTTTCCCGAGCAGGCGCCAGAGCAAAGGGACCTGTTCCCGAACGCGCCAACAGCTCGGCGACCATGCCTTGCTGTCCCCCTGCACCCCGAGCCTGCACCTTTGCCTTCCCCTGTTTTTTACATTTTGCTCCTAATTATGTTGCATCTATTGCCGTACACTTAATTAGCTGCATTAATGTGATTTCTTTTCACATAGTCAA